AGACATGTTCGAAAAGGATCCCGGCCACGGACTGGAGCACGGTTTTGCAGGGAGCATGCAGGTTCCAAACATGTGGGGGGTCAACTAGGAATACATGGCGGCTGCGGGCAAAAACTCAAAAGGGGTCAGACGAAACTTGCGATCGGTGCGAGAGATGCAGGGAATGAGTTGGAATGACCCCGATTTAAACCATCCAACTGGTGGTTTCCTTTCAGGGGACCCCTGGGTTCATTCCCTCATTCCCTACTGAGCACCAGCAAGTAAAACGGGTGGAATCGACTATGGCTCTTAAAGTTCACACAACATTCCAAGACGTATTTCGGCGCCTGAACTTGCAGGACGCCTATGAGGAAGGACGTCTGAAAGTCCGACATAGTCCAACTGCAAAGTCATCAAAGTCGCGGTGCAAACACCAGACGCGAGAGAGGTAATGAAGGGACCCCCAAACCATCCAGGGAGCGAGACAACCTCCAAAGAGTTGAACAAGGGGAATGCCCCATTGTCCCGGCCCCCCCTGTTTTCTTCCAAACGCACCCAACACCTCTGGCCTCCAATTTACACACATACACATGACCCGCCCCAAACACGGGAGAAGCATCTCGCGAAAACGTCTCCGTCTCTCTCTCTCTCTCTCGCCTCGGTTGGTGCGGCGCCACTGGCCACCGGAGACCTGGAAGACGGGGGGCTGCGGCGCCGAGGCGAAGGAGCCTTGGGTCACCGTGAAGATCGCCGGGTCCTTCGCGCGCGCGCGCGGGGGATGTGGTCGTTGGGGAAGACGGGGAAGGCGGGGAAGGCGGGGCCACGGAGCCATGGGGCGACTGCGCGGATGGAGGGCGGGAGGGGGGGAGAGCTTGCGGTCACGTCGGTTTCGGAGCGGGTTGGCGTGGAGTAGGAAGGAGGAGGGGCAGATGTGCAAAACAGGGTGCCGGTAACTAGAAAAACACCACCTTGCAAGGCTTTGTAGTCTCTGCAGCAGCTGGTATTTGGGTCATTTTTGAGAACTGGCCCACACGCATCCTATTAAGGGCCACGGGCGGTTGTCCTTTTCAGGGTAGTTTGAAGGGAACCAAAAGAAAAGCCTCCATTTCTTTGGGCGGGTTCCCCCATTTCAACACAACAATTAGCCCCCTGAAAATAGCAATTTCTCTTTTGGCTTCTCTAACACCAAGACCAAAAGAGGTCTTACACTCCCTCAGACTAACAGAATATGGAAGCTCCCAGAAGGCCGATCCTGTAAATGGAACTAAGTCTTCCATTTCCGTTCGGGAGCTTCCATTTCCATGCAATTTGTATGGGGGAGTAAGCCATTTTGAGACCCTCCCAACTGGCTATGAATCTCCATGAACCCTTTGCTGGCCATCAATTCGGTGCAAAAACTCATGTCCAGTCCCATTTTGGACCGTGGTTCCAACCAACAAAATCCATCATAAGTCACTTTTTAGGTGGTTCCACTTTTCAGGTGGTTCCTTTGCTGGCCATCATCACTTCACCAAAATTCATCGCCACCACCCCGCCCCAACCCGCCCGCCCGACCCGCCGCGTCTCCGACGACCTCCGTCCTCCGTGGCCTCGAGCGCCACGCCGATGGGCGCCCCCGGCGCCTGCAAACCGTCCACGCCGTTGCTGGAGGCCAAGGCCGCCACGTCCTCCGCGCTGAGCGGCACGTTGTACCAGCCTCGGCGGCTGAAAAAAATCGGGACCCAGTGGAGAGGGAACCAAAGTGGCTTGAAAAAGCCGAATTGAGTCCTGTTGTATATGTATATATATATATATGATATATGTATTTATATATATATACATACATATATATATATATATATGTATATATATATATATGTTGTATTGTGGATAGATTGTCTGAAATCGGGAAAAGACGCAGCTTTGTACCCAAATTGACTCCTTGGTAAATGGAAGCCAAGACTGGAACCTGCGTAACCCTACAATCTGAAGTAGGTAGGCCTGGGCCCATGGGTACTTGTTTAGGGAATCTTCATTTTGAAGCGCTTTCAAAGTGGCTTTTGGGTCCCGTTTGAAAACAGGCAACTTGCTTCCCTTCAAACCGCCATCCAAAAGGACATTTGTGGAGAAAGTGAGCGGGGGGAGTGATGGCCGGGATTGAGAGCCTTTCTGGGCGTGGAGAGGGGCGGAGCGATGTTCAACCTACTTAAGTGGGATTGCTGGGATGACTTGTTCTGGAACAAGTAGCCTTGGAGCTGCTGACAATGAACTTGCTCTTGCTCCTTGACACTTTTCAGACACCAGCAGCAGAAGGAATCAAAAACTGTGTCATGCGGGGTGGCCAGATGACAATCTGTGTCGTTTGGGTATCTTCCATAATAAAACAATCTTAATAAGCTTAAAGATCAGTCAACCATTCTTGGTGAATCCAACGGACATGTTTCATCATCGTTTACTGAGAACACCCGATGTCTTCTCTCTTTGACTCCTTGTCTGTTGCTCAACATGGGTCGCAAGCTCCCTTGGGCCATGGCCAGGGCTCAAAAGTGATCGCAGAATTTGGGACACTTGGGCGTGGCTCAAAATCCAGCGGCGGTGCTTTTTGTCCACAAGCTCGGGGTTCAGGAGTTCCCGAATTTGCAAAGCACAGCCATTTGGGTTTGCGTCAAATTCGGGGTTTGCGTCAAGTTCGAACTGATGGCTTTGCTTGTGGTGTCACTATAAACCAACCTAAAAAAACTTGGCCCACTGGGGTGCTCCCAAAAAAACATGTCCAGATGCTGCTTCAAACGTTTGTCATAAGGTCGTTTTGGAGACCCGGGAAATGGGTGCCAACAGATCTGTGCCGCCCTGCGCAGCTCATCCAGGTCCATATAGCCGTCCGAGGCGTTCCCTGCCAGAGCGCCGCTTCCCAAAGGAAGACGCTGCAGGTTATAGGACTAGGTGAAAACGCCCTAAAAAGAAGAACTGGGTGGAAACCGATGGGTAGATGGGTCAGGAAAACAAGCATCCCCAGAGTTGGTTTCCTTTTGGGCAAACTCATACACAAAGGAAACCAATTATGGTATGATATGTCAATAAAGAAACCATAAGGAAACCAATTAAGGAAACCAAACCATTAAGGAAACCAATAACTCACATTATGGTATGTCTGGCGCCCAACTCTGAACTGCGGCGCCTCCAAGGGGACTGTGGACCTTGCTTCGCCGGGGTACTACATGGGAAAAGAAACGCAACCCGCTACAAGTTGGGAGAGCACCTTTTGTTGCTTGCAAATGAACACCAAAAGAAAACCAACCAATTTGAGGAACAAGTTGGTTTTGAGACAAACCCATTTGCCTGGACTACGATTTGAATGCTGTTCGTAGGAAAAACTAGAATCCCAATGCACCAAGCAACACCACCATATGAAAACCAACAGCAATCCCCCCTACTGTTATAGTGGCTGGAGGGTCCACGTGTACGTCGGCGTTCAGCGCCAGATCGACAGGTCCCAACTTTTTTCTCCACTAACAAAGGCGTGTTTAAACTCTGGTCCACAGGGGTGTGATGTTTAAGTGGGGACCCTTGGACATCATTTTCATGGGCATGTGTGTCCATCCATTCGCTGTGAAAGGACCCAGACATGTGGGGATTTATATCCAGCCACAGCATCAGAACAACAAACATAGCCCTATTCAATGAAGACGAAAGCACCATTTGTTGGGCCACAGTCGACATTCATTGTGTCCTTTGGAATTTGATGAGCAACACCCATTTCCTAATGGTACTTTGGGTGAGTCCATGTCATCCCCTCTCTACCGCAAATGATGATAAACAACATACTGGTGCTGAAAACCAACAAGAACATATATGGAGGTTTCAGAGGACCTGCAAAATAGAAGGTCAACCTTTCACGACCTTGGAACCGGCCCATGGCAAAACCAAAAGATCAAAAGGTCAACTCTCCCCACCGATTAGCAGCGGGTCCGGCCAGCGCTGGAGAGACCACCGCACTGCAGGGGCATGGAGGCCATGTTGATGTCCACGCTCCTCGGCCACGGATGGCTTGAGAGATGGAAGTACCCCACAAAATGGTAGGTTCCCAGAGGTGTTTCCTGAAAACGCAGCGCAGATAGTGGTGCTGCACATGTGAAAAGCGATCCCGAAGCCAATTGACAATGTCAAATCAAACCCTGGCATCAAAATGGTCTATCCAGAACAATGTAAGGAAGTAAAAAGATGGCTGCACCCAGTTTTGGTTGGGATTATCCCTTTAAAACCCATTGACTTTGGGTTCCGCCAGAATGCTGGCGGATGTTGAGATAGGTAAGCCAGGTAGCACCTATGCTACTCAATTGACCAAGAGCGGCTTGGGCGCTGCTCAAATGGTAGGTTGCCCTTCGTGCTTCCTCCAAATTGAATGTCACGGCCAAATCGATGACGAGTTATATGACTGATGTTCGGATGGAAGATGTTGCTGCACCTGTGTGTATGTGTGTGTGTGTGTGTGCGCGCAAAACAATATTGCCAGAGGGGGAAACCAATCTTTTCAGTATTGTTGCAAGAGAGTATCAAGGTCAACAGCTACGCGGAAGCCAACGCTGGGAAGCAAATCGTCTCAACTGGCAATGCTGCACCAACATTTCACCTGCCCACCTTCGCGGCTCTTGTGAGCCCATGCCACGAGGAAGTGTAGCGTCGACCCCGAATTGAGAAACCCCGCCCACCCCCCACCCCCTCTCGCAGCTGACGTATATAGCTCCCTCAGTGATCAACACCCTGTGTCAAACGGCGGGGCCCCTTTGAAATTGGTCGGCACAACCTGGGATTGAGTCATACGACTAGGGTAGATAAGCTCAAGGCCATAGGGCTTTCAGGGACAGCATCAAAGGTTTAGACAGCAAACTCTGCATATGAAGTCCATCCTCTAGAGTCCAACTCATTTCTTTGCCATCCAGGGCGCGCGCAGGTCGACAGCATTGGTTTGGACTGACGGCTTCCCTTGTGTCAGGTGTCAGGAACGCTGGTGGCCCCAAACCTGCATCGAAGGATGCGTGAGATGTTGGCCTTTTGATCTGTACTCATTTGGAGAAGAAAAAAAACCATGGGCTGTACTGAGTGGAAACCGCTCACTGTTATCTTCCTATTAAAAACGGGTAGAGCAGTTCCCGTACAAAGGGTTATGCAGGACGTCCTTTGTGCGAGGCCTTCTTCTGCTTCACCGAACTGTTGGGCAGCTGACTTGCGCCATGCGGCTCTTCGGGCTACATGGTGGAAGCTTCTCTTGCACAACCACCGCTGCGCACCAGTCCTTCCCACGTTCTTCTTTTGGCGGCTTGTCTTGAGTGGGAGAAGAAGACAGAAGAGAACCATGACGGCCCTTCTGGCAACCAGACCTCTCGAGAATGAGTTTACGGCCTTCGGGTAGGAGCTTCTGGCAATCAAATCTTTCCACAATGAGTGCGAGGACAGGCTTGCCTTGCGCAGCTTCCTTCAGGCCCTGCCAGAAACAGGTGACGTCCTTCAAAGTCCCGCAACACATGACTCAGGATGACGATAAAGCGCCCATCGGACTCCTGAACTCGCTCCTTGAAGCTTGTCAGCATCTCCTGCAGATTGTCGCGACAGCGGAAGTCCGCATTCATCCAGGAGAGTGAAGACGTCAATGCCTCCACTGCAGGTGCCCATTCTGCCGGGTCAAAAAGGGAAGCGTTGACACTTGCAGACATGTTGCGGTGGTGCAAGAAGCTAGCCACGCCTGCTGTTGCACATCCAGGCCCTGCGCCAAAGTCAAAGATCTGAGTGCCCTCTCCCAGCTCCGGCTGAAATGTTTCGACCACCTTTTGCATAAGCTTCCAGGTAGCCTTTGCACGATCAACGAAGAGCTGGAAAGTATACCTTCGCGCAAAGCCCTGTTTCTTGTAGTCTTCCACAGACCATTGAAACTTCTCCTTGACTGCCGTATCGAGTGCCCATTCGCGGTAAGCCTTGTCACCCTCCCAGCATTTAGAAGGCAAAGCCTTATACACCGCATCGCTCAATTCACTGAAGTTCATTTCGTGGGAGCTGTCCATTGACGTGTGAATGTGGATGAGCAACTGCCACTTGTTCGAGCCGCGCTGGCAGATAAGGCAGATCAGCTATTGGCCTAGATCCAGGAGAGAAACCTGCCTAGTTGTACATGGTGCCACCAATGAATTCACATACAACAATAGATCTTGCCAATGGGCCACCAGGCATGTGATCCACTTTTCCGAAGCCCTCAGAACGGCCATCAGCCCATGTCTGACGCCAAGGTGAGCAAAGGCAGTGTCCCAAGAACCAACCCAAGGGCAATCAGGGAAGTATGTGGGGGTTGATCAATATTCCGCTCGGCCCCCAGTTTTGACCATGTATAACTTTTCCGATTCAGCGTGGGAAATATCATCGTTTCAGTTTTCCTCAATGGGCATTCCATGTAAAGGACCTTTTGATCAACCCCCAAGTGTATGCCAACCGGTGCCGATTTACAAAGGAAAAACACCACACAACGAAAATATACAGGAACGTGATGCTGAAGCCAAACAAATAAAACACTTGATGCAAAACCTGGCTGTTGAAAATGCACGTCAAATCCGCATGGGTCCCAAAACAACTCTGATTGATGAGAGATGATGAGAGCTCGATGGATCCAAAGTGCACATTGAGTGCTGGAGAAAAGGGGGTCAAATGGAGCAGCTTTGGGCTCGAGCAACAGGGTTCACTTTGTGTCCCCTAACATCACCCCACCGAAAGGACACTCGCTCTAAATTGGCCTAGGTGATGCTTGAAACCAACAAAGGCGGTTGGGTGCCTTTGTTTGAGGGTGCCCCTTTTTGCTTGGTTTTAATGGGAATGCAAAAGGAACACCAGCATTTTTGGCGGGTCCCCTTAAAAAGACACACCCATCTAGGGAACCCTGAACAAGCGGATGTTAACCACCCAATTGAATCCATGAAAAGCCAAGGTTCAGCCGCTCATAGGCCAGGGTCCCGTTCACGTAGAAGCGCAGCGTGCCGCTCATCCTCGCATAGAATTGGGTTCAAGCAATGGGAATCCCAAGAAGGGCACCTGGGGGCCATGGAAACAAAGTCGAACACCTCCGTTTTGCCACCGCCGTTTTGTTTTTGAGCCACACCTGTTTCCAGAAAACGAGGCCAGGGTTTGCTTTGGACCTTGGTTCAAGGAAACTGAAGGCACGGGCGCACGCTGGTTGAGTTAGCCTTCAAAAATCCGGACACCCCCCCCCCCCAAGTAAGCTTCAACACTAAAAGGACAATAGAGGGACCTGGAAGTGTAGCCCGATCCAAGCTTCAGTCTCCTCTTTACTCATTTGGGTGTGGGTCAAAAGTAGGACCCGAAATGAAATCCTGGTAAATGGAAACATGCACTTAAACCTGCGGTCCCCGAGTGGCTTGAATTACCCCTTTTGCTCAATACAATGCCAACCATGGGTGCTTCCGCCTGAAATGTTCAGCGTTGGCGTGCCGGCACGAACCAGCAACCGGGCTCACAGGAAGCTACTCTACAACGGCTGGTGGG